ACCTTGCAAAAGGGAGGGGGCTTCTCCCCATTGCGGGGAAGGCTTGAGGTGCACCTTTCTCGGCCAGCCCGGGTAAATTCGGCCGTATTCTTCAGCCAATTCTTCATGTGATGCTCCAGGTACGGCCCTCCCCCTTCCGTTCCCTGCGGCGCTGCGTGTCGAGGCCGGGACGGAATACCCCGGGCCGCCGCAGCCAAGTGCGAGGGGGAACGCCAGACGGCTCACGCGAAGGCCTGGCAACGCTGCGCTCTGCCGGGCGCTCACCGACAAACCGGGGGGAGCCGAGGCGGCCAGGGAGGAACAGCCAACTGCCGGCAACCAGCCGGAACTGCTGGGGCCGGCCCGTATTGAAGAATATGGCCGAATTTACCCAGGCTGGCCGTATATCGGCGTATAACACGCACACATCATTTGCCCCCTATTTTCAGGGGGAAAAAGTGCGTGTTATACGCCGATAAATACGGTATATTATGAGCAAAATTTTCTAACCTATGAAAAAGCTCCTATCTTCATCCAAGATTAAATTAAACAGATAAGATTGTTAGAATCAGCTTGAGCATTTGGTTCCAGTCTGTTGTCTAATCACTTATTTCATAACCTACCGGGGCAACAGAGTTAATCCTCACTCCTTTGCATGCCCACTCAATGGCTAAACTTTTGGTCAGGTTATCAACTGCAGCTCTTGCTGCTCCACTGTGCCTGTAAAGAAAGCAAAAGAAGAGGCAGACTTAATTTCCTTCTACAGGTTAACTTAAGACCACGCTGAAATTAGATGTTGTGATTATGAAATACGTATAACAATATTTTGCTATCCTAACTGGGGTTTAGATTTCGAGAAGCTATCCTCTTTCCAGTTAATTTCATCTAATCTTAGTACCATAGGGCAATTGTCAGAAATAGTGATTGATTCCCACCCATAGTTCAGCTAGCCAGAGTCAGGTTGGTCGAAAATTCCACCTTTTAGTTATTCCAGCCTAACTCAAAGCTCACATTATAGAAATAGCACCCAATCAGCATCCCCAACTATAATAAGATTGCTTACTTGCCTTTATGGCTCTCTCAAATACAAATACCTATGAGATTTCTGAGATTTTAGGGGCTATCAGGCATGATTTCCTCTTATAGCTAGGATTGTTCTCAAGCAGACTTAGAGACAAACTAACTCTTTCAGCTTCCACATTATATGAAACTCCTCCCAGGCAAAAAATATATGTGTGCACCTGTGCATTTTCTACAACCAGGAAGCTTGCAATAATTTCATAATGAGAGTTCAATTAACATAGTCCCAGCAGACAAGTCTATGCAAAGACAAATATTTCAACTGGTTGATAAGAAATATAAGCAAGGGAGGATATAGTACAACACTGATAAAAGCGGGAGACAGCTAGGAAGCAGGGCCTTTAATCTTCCCTGCCTAGCAATTTCAAGCTGCAAAACAATATGGCAGGAAGCAGGGAAGTGTCTCTGTGTCTATAAATGTGTGTCTGCTCAGAGTCGTTGAACCGCGAGATAGGAGGCAAATGAATTTTATAAATAAATTAAAATAAATACATTTACTTAGACTTAAGTGACGACAAGCATGCATTTGGATATTAATAACAGCTTACGACATGCTAGGAATCCCTCTCTTTATATTAGCCAGAATATTGACAATGGCACCCCCATGATCCCGCATCCAAGCATTGTACACTATATGGAAATGGGAAAAAAAGAGCAGTTAATACTGTGACATTTTTATTTACATTTTCCTAATGGGTATACAGAATGCAGTCTCAGTTTGAGTTAAAGCCCTCCACTCACAAAATATATAGCTAAGTGTATCAATGGGGGGGGGGGGTTGTGTTATATACAACATAGCAATGACATTAAATCCTGATATTTGCCAGAGGATACAAGTAACTATGAATGGAGGTTCATTCCCCACATTAATGAAAACATATAAATCCACCCTGCTGCTGTCTCACACACCCCCACAAAGTCCAATCATACCTCATCATGGGGGGGTGGGGTTGAACAGTATAAGCCTATTATACAAGCCAATACAGCTCTTGGCTTGGAGAAAGACCTGGGAATCTATTCCAAAAAGCTAAGGATCAACTCAAAGATGTGTAAGATATGGTACCGAGCAGTGAGTTGCTCTGGCTGGGAGGTAGCAATAAAACTACAGGGGAAGAGCAAAGAGACTATCATAGTAGCAGGAGCATCCATGACATGGATGGGGGTAAATTCTGAGGGCTACCCCAGCCGTTGGCACAGATCCCAGTGAAAAGAGATCTTTCCACTGTTCAAAGATCTTCAAATTAGGAACATGGAATGGCAATGGCATATACCAAGGAAAGCTAAACATTGTTAAGAATGAAATGAATAGGCTCAACATATTTGGCATCAGTGAAGTTCATTGGACTGACTATATATGGAGACACAAAAAGGTTCAGAATTGGAAAAGGCAATTGGCAAGGTTGCATCCTGTCACCCATACTATTCAACATGTACACAAAAATAGTTATGAGGAATGCACATTTGGAAGAATCTATCACTGGGATTAAAAATCGGTGGTAGGAATATCAATAACCTCCAATACACAGATGATCCAACATTGCTTGTGGAAAACAAGGCGGATCTGGAGTGGCTAATCCTGAGAGTCAAAGATGAAAGTGAAAATTTGGACTGCACCTTAACATCAAGAAAACAAAGATAATGACAACTTCCAGAGAAGATGCAGGTCAGAGTGCAGATCGATAATGAGCTCACTGAAACAGTAAAAAAAAAAAAAAAAAAAATCATCTTCCTGGACTCTAAAATTCACCAAAGTAGCGACTGCCGCCCTGAGATCAGAAGGCGTATAGCACTTCGAAGAACTAAAATGTCTTCCAGGAATAATATCTGGAAGAGTAAAGAGTGAAGACACCAGCCAAATGCAGATTAGTTAACACAGTAATTTTTCCAGTTGCTACTTATGGCTGCGAAACTTGGATTCTGAAAAAGGCAGATAGGAGAAGGTGGATACCTTTGAACTATGGTTCTGGAGACGACTATTATGCATCCCATGGATTGCAAAAAGAACAAACAACTAAGTCCTAGAACGAACCTCACCTAAAATATTGCTTGAAGCCAAGATCGCCAAACAGGGGTTTGTCATTCTTCGGTCATGTCATGTGAGCTGACTCATTTGAAAAGTCAGTCATGCTGGGAGTGATCAGCGGAAAAAGGAGAAGAAGACATCCTAGAACCCGCTGACTGGACTCTAGAAAGGATGACACTGGGATGATCATGGTGGATCTGAAGGAGGCAATGCGAGACAGAGGGGCATAGAGAGTGCTGATCCATAGAGTGGCCAAGGGTCGGACATGACTGAATGGCTGACAACAAGGACATCTAATCTACCAATTTTGAAAACAAACTATAGGCTGCTCCAGCTAGTGGAATCTGAAATCTCAAACCAGGCAAGTTATTTTAGCCAACTGCCTCATTTATGCTCATTTATGCCCTCTTTCTTTTATAGAACAACACCTCTGAACCTTACATAAGCTACTTTATATTTACTGCTAGACTACTATCCCAGTGGGCAGCATCACTTGATGATTTGTTCAGCTTTACCTAGAAATGTCAGACACTGTCTAAACCAGGGGTAGTCAACCTTGGCTCTTTTATGACTCGTGGACTTCAACTCCCAGAATTCCTGAGCCAGCTAAGCTAAGCTGAGCCAGCCAGCTAAGGAATTCTGGGAGTTGAAGTCCACGAGTCATAAAAGAGCCAAGGTTGACTACCCCTGGTCTAAACTATCACCACTATCCATAGCAGGCACTCTAGCACTGAGTCACTCCAAATAAAATGAAACAATTATATTCCAATATTATTAATACCGTCAACTATTTTGGTGAGTTGTTCAAATTTACAAATGTGTAAAATCTAAATGCAGGTAACTTAACATCAATACTCTGAACAAATAAACAGACTGTAGGAAATATATTTTAGTATTTCTGATCTAGTCACCAAATTCATATTAAATGTCTCCTTTGACTTATAATTAAAGCCATACTAAAATACATTTAGTATGAAGTGTATTTACTATTCTCTGTCAGAGATGCAGTCTGAGTAATAGTTGTGTTATAATTTAATTTAACATAATTGGCAAAACATGCTAAGCACTACATAGTTAGGTTTATCATTATACTTCAGTTTTAACCATTCCTTCAACCATAATTAAGTTGCAAAAGCTAAATATATATCAGTTAACAAGAATGTGACCAGCAAAGATTTATTTCCTGGTAGACCTATGGCTAAATCTCTTATTCACGTTGCAGGGGTATACTTGCTGAATTCATATATCACAATAAACCATAATGGCTGATTCCTACTTATCTTGTTTAGACTTACCGTATATAACAAACAGTAATTAAGCAAATTAAGGTTTATCTCACTGTACAAATGGAGTAGAATTTGTGGAATAATGGAATTCAAAAGTAACATTTCTTTTTAAAAAGATTAGCCTTTAACAACCTAAAAAATGTGCAAAGGACTCAAAAGAGTATTTTTGTTGATTCAAAAAAAGAAACAATGTGATGACATGGACAAATAAACCATATTCAAACTGTGAATATATAAGGCTAAATGTGAAAAAAAATATCAAGGCATGAAAATGAGAAATGCAAAGTAATGAGTGTTTCAAATTACTTTATAAACAAAAGTTCAATTTATAGTACGCAATCACCTGCTTTACAGCAATAGAAAGTTCCAGTCAAGTTGGTTTCAATAACAGCATGCCAGCCTTTTGCACTTATTAGTTCAAATGGGCTAATAAACTGCCCTCCTCCATTGTTAACCAAAAAATCTATCCTACCATGAAGATCTAATGTTGATTTCACCAGTGCCTCTACCTACAAGGAAAAAGAAATTGGAGTGGTAAGGCTGATGTTCCATTTGCAGATTTCTGTCCAGCATTAAAATCACTACCTGGCCTTTTGGTCAAGTATAGTATCTATCTATAAACTTACATAAGTGTGGTATTTCTTTAATAGAAAATCCTTTTACAAAATAGTTTTGAGTACTATTAGAAATCATGATATATCTTAAAGATGGAAAAACAACTCCAACACATCATTATACACATATTGACTGCAGCTCGTATAGCATACGCGCAATGTTGGAAGAGTGAAAATATTCCCACAAATGATATGATTATGTATAAAATTTTGGAATGCGCAGAAATGAACAAACTTACGTTAGAATTAAAAGACAAGGAGACGTCAGAATTTTATGAAATTTGGAATAAATGTTATAATTGGCTAGAACAGAGAAAGAAAAAGACATAATTATTGATGTACATAAAATGTA